ATCTTGAACAACTAAGACACAGCAGCTTTCCTCAACTGGAAAGGGGAGAAAAAAACCCTCTCCATCCAATGATCCCACACACAATATAACTGCTCTACGCCTTGATTCATCCCTTCACTCATTCTTTCTTCCCGCAAAGCCTGGCAAAAGCATAATTTATGCAAATCTAATTTTGCAAAGAAAGAAGAAACAATAAGTTATGATGAAAGCAATAAATGTTCTATACCGTGGAGTGTTTGGAGTCATAAAAGCAATTGTGTAAAATTGCACTCTCCCTGTACCTGATCCTTGTGTGTCTGAGTTACAGCTGTTCAAATTACAGACAAAAGCAAGTTTTTAATGTCATTATAGCGGCAGAGTCAATACGAGACACGAGTAGATCCTGTTCTGCCGTGCGCATTATCACCAGAACTGTCAGCTAATTCCTGACTGCAGTGTCTTTATTTTTACTCATAATGCCATAAGAAGCATAAAGGAGAGCTACAGTTGTGACATAGTTCTTGTGTATGTGTGTGCATGCATGATTTTAGCAGCTAGGGTCTGATCCTACCAGGTGCTTTGCATATCATCTCCCAGTTATTTCGGTAGGAGTTGAGGGTGCTCAGCACCTGGCAGGAGCAGGCAATCAGCATCTCAAAGCATCCGTAGAGACTTGCCAATGTAACTCAACCCTGGTCTGTGCTTTTCATAAGCTGTCATACAAACTGTGCCAGAAACCAAGACTGAGCAGTGATTGCTTCCTGGGAACTGGTCACTTTCTGTTGATCTTCTCAGTGAGAGAGCAAGAGAGAGAGAGAGAGAGCAACTGTACATAGAACAAAGGAAGGAGTCATCTTGTTCAGCACTTACAAAACTAGATCAGTTTTGATCCTGGGCTCTCACTGACAGAATGCTTTGTATGGAATACAGCATGGAATTGTCAAGCTCTTTCTATGGAAAGTGCACTGCAAATGCCTGTTAACTGGTTTTCTGGGGTTGGGCTCTTCCTGTTTTTTATCCACACTATTAACTCCAAGCCCAGTTTTCATGAAGTATCCCGGGCTCCTACTCACCTGCCCCCAGACAAAGAGGAATGAATGCAACACCCTTTGCAGCCTTTCACTGCTACTGCAAATGGTAATCAAATGGGCTGCCTAAGGGTGAAGCAGATTTTCCCAGTCTCTGCTTCTCCAGGGTTAGAATGCAGTCTCCATATGCAAACCTAGTCCCTGACAGCTAGGGGCTCAGAACAGGGCCATAATCTGGCTACATCTGTCCAATATGACCATCAGACCACAAGACTGGGCCACAGTTGTAATAATGTCCTTGCTTTATTTTGCCACATCAAATGAAAACATTTCTTGTAACTGTGATGAAAAAATAAATCTATTTCTGATATTCAGTCTTTGTCTACAAACAGCCGTCCAAACAAAGAAAGAAAAAAGAAAATGAAAACATTTCAATGAACTGTGAAATATCTTCCCTCCTAATCTCATCTGAAACCAGCTAAGACAATCAAATAGCCAGCACATGCAGAATACATTAGGAAGAAGAACCAAATGTTGCTGATATTAATAGTATCTACCCCCTGTTTCTGCCCCCAAAGTAGCTGCTGCTAAAACTTTGTTGCTATCACTCTTGTGCAGTGTCACAAGTCACACAAAGTGTGACTTATTCCCCCACCCCCCAAAAAAGGTTTGAAATCAGCCATTAAGGAAAAGGAAACAAAAAAAGAGGAGTCAGCTGGAACAGGCTATCTCCAAGATACACCAAGGCAGCACTGGAATTTCAAACAACACGAATATGAAACTTTATTCCTGAGCCCACTCTTCCTTTTTGGACACAGAAGGCTGTGCCCTCAAAAACAATGTGATCATCTGGGGAATCAGTGGGATATTGTTTCTGATTCAAATTCCACTGCAGTCCCTGGAAGGACTCCCATTCATTTTACTGGGGTTTGGATCCGGCCTGTTAAGAGAATCCCCTTGTTTCTGTCTGAAAATGTTTGGATTCTCTCCTTCCGCCACTGTAGAGTTAATGCAGACAATACCCTTGGGTGGGTTATTAAATGAGGGACCTCTGGATCTAAACCCATGAGCTATTATTGCTTGAGCTGAAAGACTCAGCTGTGTTAGCTTAAAGGCTGTAATAGTCTCATAAACCTTTATATGGAGGAAGAGAGCCACCCGAATAACCATGGATGCTATTCATATAACATTTAATGAAGAGTCCTACTGCAAATTTGAAAAGTATCCATCTCTGTCTTTCCTGTGGAACTGCTTACTTAGCTCTTCCTTTTCTTCAGTAAGGCCTACATTTTCCAAACGTGACTAGTGATTTTGGGTGCTTCCATTGTTAGATGCCCAGTTTGAGACATTTTAAAAGGGCCTGACTTTCAGAGGGTGAGTACTCAAAGCTTTCTGAAAGTCAGTCTCTTTTAAGATATCTCAGGCTCCCTTCTTGAGTCACCCACTAGTGCCTCTAAATGAGCACAGGAGATGCTCCACACAGTCTTCTCAACCTCCTCCAGCTGCACTAGGGCTGGGCAAGAGAAGGTGGGGCAAAGCTTCTGATGTAGAGTGGAAGTCCTGTAGTCACAGCACCCAGACTTCTTTCTCCCCCACCAGTGCCTTCCTGCCTGGCCCCAATGGAATGGAGCCCAGAGCTTTCTTTCCCCACACACCAGCCAAAGGGCACCTGTTTCCCTAACCCTACACACCAACTGCGGGGAGACCTCCAGCAATCAGAGGACACCTGCCAATTAAGAAGCCAGGGCTGCCCATCATCCAACCCAGACCACTACCAGCATAGTCCCATTATCACCCAAACAACCACCCTACTATCAGAGACTTCAGGGCATCCTGCTAGCCACTATTATTACCACAGGAAAAACCACCACCACCACAGCTGCCATGCAAAGGAGCCCCCAAGAGGAGGTACTGGGGAGGAAGGGGTGCAGGCGTTCGTGAGACATCAGGCGGGGAGGAGATGGAAAGATAGATGGATTTGGGAGTGGGAAGAATATGGAACTGATGGGTTTTGGGAAGGGAAAGCAAGAATTGTCTAAGGGGATGAGAAGTATTTTACCCAGGGAATGTTGCATATATGGCTGAAAAGTTTTGAGGGATCCCCTAGTTAAAATTTTGGCCACATATAACTGTTTTCCTGGCCTCTGGTGTTTACTCTTAGATGGTGTCAGAGATACTTTCCAGTGACTGCTCTTATCAACAGAAATTCTTCCCCCTCCCGCCAATACATTTGGGCTTTAAACTTTTCCTTCAAGTCTTAATCCTCATTTTCTATTTCTGACAATAGTTTTCCATCATTTGTTCTGCCTTCCTTCTTAAAACACATTTGTGTTCTGATGTCCTACAAACATATGAGTAAAGAGATACACCAAGCTCAATTTCTCCCCACTGGCAACCTCCCAGCTCCTCCCCATTACATTTAATCAAGTCTGTGGCATAAAACCAATCCTGGCCATGGAGCAGAGGAAAGATGGAGCCACATTTTGTCGAATGAGCCAGGGGAGATTTTATCAGTGCTCCAATACCTGGCAAATAATGAGATGCTACAGGTGTGGCAAACAGTGAGATGCCATCCTTTTCAGGTGTGGAGTTGATATATTTCCAGGAAGGCACAGCATCAAGCCTCTCATCTGAAGGAGATAGTGGAAGAAAGACTTTTTCCAATCAGCTTTTTATGAATGAAGCTTTGTGAAGCTGTCATTATTACCTGTGACACAGCTTTATCTTGCAGTGAGGAGGCAAAGGTTGCTGCAATAGCAAACATAAGGGCATTTCAAGGAGACTAGTGTGTGCTTTGTAAAACTGAAGGAAATTTTCTGCCAGAATACAAAATATTCTCTCTCTCTCTCCTCCCCCACCCAAAAGGTTATGTTAAAAACAAGGCTAGACTGAAATGCATTTTCTTTACAAGCTAGAAATGCTGGCGACCTTAGATATGATTATAAAACATTATTGCTCCATCCACCCTACAGATCCCCCAGAAAAGCATTTTTCAGAAGCTGGTTTTTAATACAGCGCTAAAGAACAGGGGTCAGATCACACTGTTTGTCACAGAAGCCCACAGGTACTTTTATACGTACATCTGTCAGTTTCAGCAACAGTGAGGACATTAAATGGAATTAATCAAGCAGAAGAATGATCTATAACAATGCAGCAGTGCGTGTATTGATATGAAGCAGTAAGCATGAAAATGGTAAAAAAAAAGCTACTTTCTTTAAAATTGTGTATATGGTAAATAGATACCTCAGTGGTGCACACATTAGAATACTATAGCTTTCCTACACAGCAAGAGAAATATTTAGTCTAACAACATCAATATCACCTCTATATCCTAAATGCCAAATTCTGGCTGGCTCTTCAGTGCGTACGCACACACACTCTCTCCATTATCATCTCATTCTCCCTTCTCCACACCCCACCCATTTGTTTTGTCCATCTTGTCATGAACCAAGATTCCACACTCTTTGGGGTAGGGACTGCCTTTTGCTTCCTGTTTGTACACAGCCCAGCTAATGAGAACCCAATCCATGGCTGACATTTGTAGGTGTTAAGGTAATAAAAATAGTTGAATACTAGTGCTATCATTAGGCAGCTAAGAGAAAACCCGGGCAGTACCAGTGTTGAGGCCACACACCGATGGTCTCAAAATCTGCTAACAGATATTCTGCAGACTTCCTTGCACGGAAACACAGAGGCACATTATCCAGAGCCGGGAGGACAACATTCCAGTGTTTTAGCTTAGACTGCCTGGTGTACCCAAGGCTATTACAAATTTTGATGCTTCTTGGATTAGTTGTGTTTTTGGGAGGAGTAATCTGCACAGGAAGTTGTCCAGAGGGTCTCTCAACTGGCTAGAATTTGGATGGAAAACAAAATCTAAACACCCCTAATATTTAGTTTTGTAGTGCATATATGTCCCCAACTCATGTATAAAGTGTATGAACATTTCCATCGACTTTTGCTGGGTTTTAAACACAACAATAAGTCAGTTACCTGTAAGGTCATAGGTGGGCCAGGAGCCCAGCTGGCACGCCTTGCATGTGTATTCATCAGAGACAAACTCGTTCTCTTTACAAGGTGTACAGGTCCAGCAGCAGCTGACTTCTCCTTTACGGATCACCTGAGATGAATATTTAACAGTGCAATTAGATTTGTTTTTTTAATCGATCTTCTTTAATGCTGCTAAGGTTCCTTATTTGATTTTCAAAGTCCCTTTTTTACTCACTGTTTCTAATAGAGATGAGCCCGTTCTTTTGAGGAAGCCCCTTTTGCTAATATTATTCTTACCATTATAAATCCTTCTGATTAGAACTGGATGATCATTTACACAGCATGAACTGTGACTCATGGGCATCGGGAGAAACAATCACTGAGGATAGTTTGCAACCATCTTATAGGCTGAAATAGGGTCAGATAAATCGTTTGTCAAGCAAACAAAGTTGTAAAGATCTAAATCTCTTCAGTGATCATTTACACACAGAAAAGGGGGAATAATATTGTTCACTGTAGATACAGCAATTCACCCAGTTCTAATCCAAATGTAGCATGAAAAAGTGGGAAACCAGCTTTGCTTCCCTAAGGATTGGGCTGGGATAGGGCTCAGTTTTCATCAGTTTGTGATAGTCTGAGAAAATTCAGGTTTTATGTCCCTTTTCCAAACCAATTCAGATCAGCTATGTTTTAAATTAACATTTAATAAGGAGAATGTAATGTGTGTCCATTTTAACATTCAGCACTGATTTTCACCTCTTTCCATTCAACATGTTACATCCTACTGCACCGTGGCAATTCAAAAGTGAGTTTCCCCAAATCCCCATGTATCTTCTCTTGGGCACTGAACACATCTGTGACCCCTGGTGATCTGCCAAGGGCGACGAGAAGGTCTTTCCTCTTTGCGATGAAGTATTCTCTGTGTCGGTGTTTATCACATTCTATCCATTTTTAAACAAATGCTACCAACTACAACATTCGGCTGACTTGTCTCGCCTTTGTAGGGATCAGTTCAGAACATGGTTTCACAAGCAAACGTCACGGATTGGGATTTTAATCAAATGCAAAGGAGCACAGTCAACCAAAGTCCTGAAAGGCTGTTGTATAGCGCAGAAACCTGGGAAATAAATCTCCTTCAATGGCTTTGAGCGAGCTTGCAAAGAGAGGTGATTGTTTACATTAGATTCTTAAAGGGCAAAATCACCTGAAGAACTAAGTAAATGAGAAAACAGATGGGAAGATTTCCAAAAAATTTCCTTTGATTGTGAAGGGTTGGGAATACCCACAACTCCCACAGGAGTGAGTAAGAAACTCTTCACAAACCTCAGGATCAAACCCCCTGTTGGATGTGTTTGTTAAATGGACTTTTCAGCTGCTTCACTGTCCATTTCTTTTTAGAGTAGCAGCCGTGTTAGTCTGTATTGGCAAAAAGAAAAGGAGTACTAGTGGCACCTTAGAGACTAACCAATTTATTTGAGCATGAGCTTTCGTGAGCTACAGCTCACTTCATTGGATGCATTCAGTGGAAAATACAGTCAGGAGTTTTATATACACACAGAACATGAAAAAATGGGTGTTATCAAACACACTGTAAGGAGAGTGATCACTTAAGATGAGCTATTACCAGCAGAAGAGCGGGGAAGGGGAGAGAAAACCTTTTGTAGTCATAATCTAGGTGGGCCATTTCCAGCAGTTAACAGGAACGTCCGAGGAGCAGTGGGGGGTGGGGGAAATAAACATGGGGAAATAGTTTTACTTTGTGAAATGACACATCCACTTCCAGTCTCTATTCAAGCCTAAGTTAATTGTATCCAGTTTGCAAATTAATTCCAATTCAGCAGTCTCTCGTTGTTTTTGAAGTCTTTTTGTTCTAATATTGCGACCTTTAGGTCTGAAATCGAGTGACCAGAGAGACTGAAGTGTTCTCCGACTGGTTTATGAATGTTATAATTCTTGATGTCTGATTTGTGTCCATTTATTCTTTTACGTAGAGAATGTCCAGTTTGACCAATGTACATGGCAGAGGAGCATTGCTGGCACATGATGGCATATATCACATTGGTAGATGTGCAGGTGAACGAGCCTCTGATAGTGTGGCTGATGTGATTAGGCCCTATGATGGTGTCCCCTGAATAGATATGTGGACACAGTTGGCAACGGGCTTTGTTGCAAGGATAGGTTCCTGGGTTAGTGGTTCTGTTGTGTGGTGTGTGGTTGCTGGTGAGTATTTGCTTCAGGTTGGGGGGCTGTCTGTAAGCAAGGACTGGCCTGTCTCCCAAGATTTGTGAGAGTGATGGGTCGTCCTTCAGGATAGGTTGTAGATCCTTGATGATGCATTGGAGAGGTTTTAGTTGGGGGCTGAAGGTGACAGCTAGTGGCGTTCTGTTATTATCTTTTTTGGGCCTGTCCTGTAGTAGGTGACTTCTGGGTACTCTTCTGGCTCTGTCAACTTGTTTCTTCACTTCAGCAGGTGGGTATTGTAGTTGTAAGAATGCTTGATAGAGATCTTGTAGGTGTTTGTCTCTGTCTGAGGGGTTGGAGCAAATGCGGTTGTATCGCAGAGCTTGGCTGTAGATGATGGATCGTGTGGTGTGGTCTGGGTGAAAGCTGGAGGCATGTAGGTAGGAATAGCGGTCAGTAGGTTTCCGGTATAGGGTGGTGTTTATGTGACCATCGCTTATTAGCACCGTAGTGTCCAGGAAGTGGATCTCTTGTGTGGACTGGTCCAGGTTGAGGTTGATGGTGGGATGGAAATTGTTGAAATCATGGTGGAATTCCTCAAGGGCTTCTTTTCCATGGGTCCAGATGATGAAGATGTCATCAATGTAGCGCAAGTAGAGTAGGGGCATTAGGGGATGAGAGCTGAGGAAGCGTTGTTCTAAGTCAGCCATAAAAATGTTGGCATACTGTGGGGCCATGTGGGTACCCAGAGCAGTGCCGCTGATTTGAAGGCATACATTGTCCCCAAATGTGAAATAGTTAAGAGTGAGGACAAAGTCACAAAGTTCAGCCACCAGGTTTGCTGTGACATTATTGGGGATAGTGCTCCTGACGGCTTGTAGTCCATCTTTGTGTGGAATGTTGGTGTAGAGGGCTTCTACATCCATAGTGGCCAGGATGGTGTTTTCTGGAAGATCACCAATGGATTGTAGTTTCCTCAGGAAGTCAGTGGTGTCTCGAAGATAGCTGGGAGTGCTGGTAGCATAAGACCTGAGGAGGGAGTCTACATAGCCAGACAATCCTGCTGTCAGGGTGCCAATGCCTGAGATGATGGGGCATCCAGGATTTCCAGGTTTATGGATCTTGGGTAGCAGATAGAATATCCCAGGTCGGGGTTCCAGGGGTGTGTCTGTGCGGATTTGTTCTTGTGCTTTTTCAGGGAGTTTCTTGAGCAAATGCTGTAGTTTCTTTTGGTAACCCTCAGTGGGATCAGAGGGTAATGGCTTGTAGAAAGTGGTGTTGGAAAGCTGCCTAGCAGCCTCTTGTTCATATTCCGACCTATTCATGATGAAGATAGCACCTCCTTTGTCAGCCTTTTTGATTATGATGTCGGAGTTGTTTCTGAGGCTATGGATGGCATTGTGTTCTGCACGGCTGAGGTTATGGGGCAAGTAATGCTGCTTTTCCACAATTTCAGCCTGTGCACATCGGCAGAAGCACTCTATGTAGAAGTCCAGTCTGTTGTTTCGATCTTCAGGAGGAGTCCACCCAGAATCCTTCTTTTTGTAGTGTTGGTAGGAAGGTCTCTGTGGATTAGGATGTTGTTCAGAGGTGTGTTGGAAATACTCCTTAAGTCGGAGACATCGAAAATAGGATTCTAGGTCACCACAGAACTGTATCATGTTCGTGGGGGTGGAGGGGCAGAAGGAGAGGCCCCGAGATAGGACAGATTCTTCTGCTGGGCTAAGAGTATAGTTGGATAGATTGACAATATTGCTGGGTGGGTTAAGGGAACCATTGCTGTGGCCTCTTGTGGCATGTAGTAGTTTAGATAGTTTAGTGTCCTTTTTCTTTTGTAGAGAAGCAAAGTGTGTGTTGTAAATGGCTTGTCTAGTTTTTGTAAAGTCCAGCCACGAGGAAGTTTGTGTGGAAAGTTGGTTTTTAACATCCAACTGCTGTCAGTTGCAGTTGATTGCACTGTAACCCCTCCCGCAATTTATCCAGCCCTATTTAACTAAATCTCCTTTTTTCAACTGCAGTTACTTCCCCCAGGCCACTCTCCTGCTGGTCGTTCTTGTGATTATTCGAAGAGTTTTGATGTCTCCAGAATATTTCATGTGTTCTGGGTTGTACTGTATTTGGTTTGCATAAGGCCACACAGGAAGGGACATGCTGGATGCTGCTGTATAATGGGACACTGTTGCTTTGTGTGCATCTAGATTCCCTGGGTGAAATCCTGACTCCACTGAAGTCAATGGTAAAACTTCTGTTGACTTCGTTCAATGGAGCCAGGCCTCATCCCCTGTTTTAGTACATGGGCTTTTGTCAATGAAAGAAAATTTGGGATTTATACTCAACAATCAAATGTAAGAAGAAAGAGGATTACAGATATGGGTCCTGATGCAGAACATTTAACTTTAAACACGTTCTTAAGTGCTTTCCTGAATTAGGATCCACAGTGAAGAGTAGAGTCTGGCACTAACCAAATCCTGGATCCAAACATGCCTGAAATTTCAGAAGGTTTAGACCCAGCTCCAAAACTTGTGTCCTGGGCCTATCTCTAGTACAGTGACGCTGTTTGCCACACGTATTGCTTGTTTTGAAGCTAGATCACTAAGTTTAACCCCCATGAACACTTATTGTTATTGCAGACTATGGCCTGATTCGGATCACACATTGCTATCTCTTTTTGCTTCGGTGAGTTACTCCTGATTCGCATCACTTTCACTGAGAGCAGAATCATGTCCACATTCCTGTGCTCTTTTCAAACAGATGTCAAATTGTGCCATTGCATCTTCTCATTCAGGGGGCGTCCCTTTGCCCCCTTAATTATAGACTAACACAACTTGCAGACTGCAGACCGCTAATGAAAAAAGGAATTAAAGCAAAACAAAGTTGTGATTTTAGCAAATCCAGCAAGTTACTTACCTTTTCATGAGATTCTCCTTTAAACATATTATTAATAATAAATGAAAGATTTTTCCTGTGTTTACTGTATTATTGTTAATAAGAAGATATTAAGGGCTCTTAAGAGCTAAGGCTAGAAATTTAAAAATTGCGTAACTAAAAGTTATATTCCTAAATCCAGATTTTAGCACCTAAATGATAATTATTATGAGTTTATTTGCTTTGGGCTGGTCCTTTAGGCCCCAATCAGGGATTGAGACCCCATTGTGCTAGGCACTGTACAAAAACACAGAACAAAAGGATGGTTCCTGCCCAAAGAATTTACAATCTAAGTATAAAACAGGAGGCAACAGATGGATACAGACAGACAATAGGGGAGCACAAGAAAAGAATGAGACAATTATGAAAAGAGTAGCAAGAAGCAGTAATCACATAAACAACTTTTTGCACTTTTTATTAAGGTGCCAAAACTGGTTTAAGGTCTTAACTTTAGGTTCTTATAGTTGAAAATTTTGACAAACATTCTGGGTATCATTTCACAACTATGCAAATAATACATCAATACAATAAAAAAGCACCCTATTTACCTTTATCTGGCCTTTTTCACATGGTTCACTGCAGACCGATCTGATGACAGTATTTTTCTTTGACCATACTTCATCGTCATCCATCTTCAATTCACCATTGTCCCAACTTCCAACATTAATATAGTCAAAGTAATCCTTCCCCATTTGCTTAAAATTCATAATCTCATACCTTGCGAAACACAAAATGAACAAACAGTTGAGTTTAGGATACAGTCACTAAATCTTTTCGATTTAAAGGAGCACTATCAAATCAAAATCTAATTAATTAAAAAAGAGTTAAAAGTATTTTCTAGTGCTACATGGACCACTGAGTCTCCCCTGCCTATTGTTGTAGTTATATAAGCATATTGTCCTATCATTTTTAAAACAAAGTTTTTCTCTCCCCTGTTGCTGTGTGAAAGATCCCTATAGAGTATGGGAGAAACTGACTAGACACAAAGTACTGCCAAATGCACTAACTCAGTGGTTCTCAAAGCCGGTCTGCCGCTTGTTCAGGGAAAGCCCCTGGCTTGTCGAACTGGTTTGTTTACCTGCCGCATCCACAGGTTCGGCCGATCGCGGCTCCCACTGGCCGCGGTTCGCCGCTCCAGGCCAATGGGGGCTGCGGGAAGCGGCGCAGGCCAAGGGACACGCTGGCCGCCCTTCCCACAGACCCCATTGGCCTGGAGCAGCGAACCGCGGCCAGTGGGAGCCACGACCGGCTGAACCTGCGGACGCAGCAGGTAAACAAACAGGTCCGGTGCGCCACGGGCTTTCCCTGAACAAGCGGCGGACTGACTTTGAGAATCACCGCACTAAATGAAACAATAAAAAAGGAAAAATGTTGTTCTCTAATCTCTGTGAGCTCTATCTGGGGTTCTTCTATGGTTCCCATTACTGTACTGTCTGAGTGATTGACAGTCTTCAGTGTATGTGTCCTCGCAACACCCAGGTGAAGTAGGGAAGTACTGTTAGCCCCTTTTAAAGATGAACTGAGGCACAAAGCGGCTTTCCCAAGGTCACACAGGGAGCATTTGGGATAGCTGAGACTTGAACCCAAGACTTTTAAGTCCCTGAATAGCACCCTAATAACTGAATCATCCCTCCTGCTAGCCTAGTAATTTTAGGGTTCACTTAGTGGCAACAACATACTTTGAGAGTAGTGCGGTTTTTTAAGGTTATGCTAACAACCTCTCCCTTACTGAGTATCTTAATTGTACAGAAGAAGATTGCACAAGACATCAGTGCATGACTATGAAAGCAAATGCTCAATTAATTTCAAAATAGATAGTGAAGTTAGGTGCAACATAGTCACTGCAAGCATTTATAAAAAAAATTAGTGACTATTAAGTGCTTAAATTGATAATTAAAATTGTTGCAGACAGTGGGCAAAAAATGAGGCCACAAAGCCAAGCCACTCTGTAATGTTTACAAAAGGACAGATATTACTCAAAACGTAACATGGGAGTTCCCTGTGTGCAGAGGTTGGTGAGTCACCTGCATTAGTTTAAAGGTCTATTAAGCAAGATAAAAATGTTTTGATGAAGTGCTTAACACACAGGGACTCAGTGGGGATATAGTACATCACACTGATATAGCTCCCAGTGTGCCCCCAAAAGCATAACAATTACATCATAAACAAAACATTTACGCAGCAGTTTTCATCCACAGATCTCAAAGTATTTTAAAGGAAGATATCATTATGTCTGTTTTACAGATGAAGAAACTGAGGCTGGGAGATGAAGAGACTTGACCAAGGTCACACAGTCGGTCAGTGGCAGAGCTACAAGCACTATATCAAGTCCTGTGCCACCGAGAAAGAAAGTAAAAGCTGATGGTAAGATTAAGTGTTATTGAGTGATATCAGAAGCTGGTTTAACACTATAGCCCAGAAGAAACAATTAATCCACCACACAGCCAGGAAGAAGAGTTGTATTTTAGTGCAGTGGTTCTCAAAGCCGGTCCACTGCTTGTTCAGGGAAACCCCCTGGTGCGCCATACCAGTTTGTTTACATGCCGCGTCCGCAGGTTCAGCCAATCATGGCTCCCACTGGCCGCGGTTCGCTGCTCCAGGCCAATGGGGGCTGCGGGAAGTGGCGCAGGCCAAGGGAGCCGCGATCGGCCTAACCTGCGGACGCGACAGGTAAACAAACCGGTCCGGCACACCAGGGGCTTTCCCTGAACAAGCGGTGGACCAGCTTTGAGAACCACTGTTTTAGTGGGTCTGGGTCATATTTATTTTCCTTGCTCTTTTGGGCAAAAAATGATCACCACTTCAACAAAAGATTGTCTAATCATGTGCAGTGTGGCAACAAAACAAACCTTAAATTAAGCAAGAAGAAATGCTAGGTTGGTTTGAATGACACATACACAATGTGTCATTGTATGACTATGTAAGACACATACACAATGATGAAGGAGCTCAACTAGAAAGGGGGATCACCTGTAGAAATGGAAAGACCCCAAAACAAATAGGTCTTTCAGAGAGATTCATGGGCTCGTAATCACAGCTAATCAAAGCCACTCCCCCACAATTAAATGCTCCACTCAGAATGTTGCCTGATGATGGTACAGCCTGGCACTGGGATAAGTGGCAAAAGACAACCTTTTGGGGATTTAAAAAAATAGCGGTCCCAGAAGTACCTATGGGATCCATACTTAGCTTCCTTAGAATATTGTAACACTCCTTATAATACTGTTTTATGAGGATCACCATTCAGAAGGACAAACTTTAATGCCAATATTTCACAGTCTTCTGGAGCCAAAGACAATGAAACCTGAAGTAGTTACAAAAGAACTCTGTGCAAACATCACATTGGAAAAAATGGAAGGGAACTCCTAATAAAATATAGTGAACTATTGCCCTTTTCATTCTATATCTCGCAGAAGTCCTGTTCTCAGAATAGGACTGGCAGAAATTCCCAGTGCTATGAAGTCCTTTACCTACCTTGGTTGTTCAGTAGCTACTGCTACATTGAAACTAGCTTGAGATAATGCTGTGGGGACTGTAAGGTGCTTTCGGGAGCCAGGGACCAGACACTAATGTAAGTTTCCAGCATTGTCCAATGCACAGGGCAAAATACTTATTGCAAACTCAGTTTCAGAACATACGAATTGGCATGGTGAAGGTGGTAATTGCAGTTACCCTGTTGCTGAAGTCCAGTGTGAACACTAATGCCCTCTTTACTTGGCTTTTCAATTCCTTCTTTAGAGTTTCCATAATATTGACTAGCTAATAATTTTCTTCTTATGAAAGACAATTCCTTACATGTTACTTTGTTTTCTCCAAGTGTTCTCCTAAACAAATGGATTTAAATCCTCCATGAGCCTACCTGTGTGCTTTAAGTTAAGCATATGCTTAAGGGCTTTGCTAGTTCCAGCCTAGAATGCCCAGCATCTTGCAGGATCGAGCATTTGTTGTGTATTGTCAAAATCTTGAGCTCTCTGGGGCATGAAGTGTATTTGTGTTATTTATATGAACACGAGGGCACTGAGGCACAACAGTAACAACCGTAACACCAATTTAGATCCCCCTGTCACTGCATCCCTCCCTGTCCCAACCCCCCCGTGCACCCATCCCCCTCACTGCAACCCCATGCCTCTCACTGCATCCTTCCCCATCCTACCCTCTGCACTCCCATCCCCCTGTCACTACATCCCTCCCCGTCCCAACCCCCATGCGTCGCCATCCCCCATCTCTGCATCCCTCTCCGTCCCTGAGGGAGGGTGGATGGAGTGAGCAGGGGGTGTGGCCTTGGGAAGGTGCGGGACAGGGCCTGAGGGAAGGGGCAGGGCAGTGGGCGGGGTAAGGGTGTTCGGTTTTCTGGAATTAGAAAGTTGGCAACCCTAATGCAGATATTTAAGACAGGGAAGAGGTGGGGATGAGTTCTGATTCTCTCTCCTACTATTGCTAACTACAGTTGCTGGAGTCCTGAAAGAACTAGGGACCAGTCCAGCTAGAAGACAAAGCAGAAGCTAGGAAATAGAGGTAGACCTTGCTAAAAAGGCTTCTTCTTCATACCTGAAAAGAAAATGTTGCCCAATCTTTATAAATAGAGCTAGATTTAATAATGTGTCTATCACTAGGCTGAAAGATCACAGAAACCAGGTCTATGTTTTTAAGTAATGAGGTCTTTAGAACCTTTCCTCCTCTATATGATGCATTAGTTTGCACATGGAGAGCCATGCTTTACTCAGCGTACACTCAGTGAGGCAGGACTTCTTGGCAACCACATTCTCTCACTGAGTAAAGAGCACAGTCAACCTGGAGCCCTTCCCTTGGTGAGTGAGCATCTTGTTGGGGATGCCCTCTACGGTTATGATTAAAATCATGAGTAAATAACAAAGCAGCATATCTGGCATTGCTCTTTCTGATAAATATCCACAGTACCTTCCTGGTGAGTCTCCATTCTCATCAAACAAGATCACCTCCCCAGAAACCCCAGTGAAGTTAGTCTTCATGAGAGAATCCAGGAGTTTTTGACCATCTATAGGCTTCATGGCATCACAGAGACCCGCATAGCCTGGGCATAGTGACATCTGCATGTTGTGAAGACCATACGCCATAGAATATATGGCATTGATTACGAATCCCATTTTAGAATCTTGAACATGTTGCGTTTTGAGAGTCAACTGACCTGTTAGGAAACAACACAAAGTTTAGTCATTGCCATAGACAAAAACATGATGAATCTTCAAACGTTTTGCTGTGTATCTATTATTAATATTTAAAAACCCTCTTAAGAGACACTAAGCAGTATATATATATATATATATATATATAAAGAGTGGAAAGAACAGGTCCTCTTTTAAACATCTCATGATCCTGTTGGTCTCCATCTCAATGAAGCAATAGAATCTGTGCAGCCTCATTTTCAGTTACCCCTCTTTCACCCTATATTTTGTGTGTGTATGTATCTATTATAACATACTGTAATACTTGGAGGCTCCTAGGAAGTGACCACCGTCTACGAGATTCTTTCCACTGACCTCAAAGCTAGTTGATTCAGCCCTTTGTGGTTGGTGTGCCACAGAGGGTGCCTATGTAATAGGAACCGTATGTATCATCTTCTGTGTTTCCGGATTTATGGAGAAACCAAGCGTTCAAAAATAACTAGATAAGTTCATGGAGGATAGGTCCATCAATGGCTATTAGCCAGAATGGGCAGGGATGGTGTCCCTAGCCTCTGTTTGCCAGAAGCAAAGAATGGGCGACAGGGGATTGATCACTTGATGATTACCTGTTCTGTTCATTCCCTCTGAATCACCTGGCATTGGCCACTGTCAGAAGACAGGATACTGAGCTAGATGGACCTTTGGTCTGACCCAGTATAGCCGTTCTTATGTTTTTATGTAAGGAATCGAGAAATCCACTACAAGCCAAGATGCTACCATGGAAATGAAATCTTGAGTGGAATTGGCAAACTGACATTCTGTCAGCAAAGCGTTCTTATTAATATCATACTGCTACCTGGTCGTGTAGTAGCTACAGCTCCTGCTGAAATCTCTGGGAGTTGTGAACACTCAAAACCTTGCAGGTTTATGGCTTCTGTGAGTTACTCAAAACTGAATCTTCCTATGTTTGGTAGTGGGTCTGGAAGTTAATGGGATATGTGGAATTGGAAAGGAGCATCTAACTGTCAGTTGACCCCGTAGAATTTTTGTCTGGTAACAGTGTTAAAGGACACAAACCACTAGTTTTAGGCCTCACATGTAGATAGCCTAGATTATCCCTTGCACTGCAAGTGCAGAGCAACCCTGAAGCTAGCTTAGCTGCCTGCAAAAGCATCACTTCACCCTACGTGGATCTCCAGTGGTGTGCAGCTGAAATAACAGTGCCTGTCTCTCCTTCTTGCAGTCCACATGGCTGATGATGAGAGGGTGTGGCCAGGGCTTCCATGGGATTCCTGGCTACCATAACAGCCTTCCGCTCTTCATAACCTCCCTAATGTGGGGTTTCCTTTTCTTCAGTCCCATCTCTGCAGGGTTTCCTCTTCCACACACCAACCTGATGCATTCTCTTTGCCTTATCTTAGGGACAGTAACCGCCCCTCTCCCTGATGAAGACGCCAATAGAGAAGCAGTGAGGAGCAGAAGTGTAAATGGAGGCAGATTACGGTTTAACAGGAGAGGGAGGCATTCCACATCTGTAGTGGGCTGGGTTCTGAGGACAAGTTAACTCATCTGTCCCTTCAAAAGAGACAAGTTACTCATTCAGAAAATTAATGTAATCCTTTTCTGTTAGAAAGAATGTTCAACTTTATGAAGAAAACTTTTGTAAGGAAACCTGACTCTGGTTAAATAAATACATCAAATTTGAAAGTTGGCCAACTTGGTCATTCTGCTCAGACACATTCTATTCAGGGGATTCTGTATCCACGTGGTGAAAGGTCAAAACAATGAACTGACTAAATTTCAGGAATGAGCATCAAACCCAAACCTGTGACTCATGAAAGACTTCAGTACCTAACACATTTAAAGAGAGTTAGGATCTGTTTAAGAAACCTGCCCAGCTCAATCAATACTTCCACCTTTTAACAAGCTTTTAAATATACTAGGTAATGGCTCCTGGATCTGTTTTGCTGCCTCCTTTGGAATTAAAACCTGTGCCAGGCAGCAGGCCGGACAGGAGTTTACAAGGATTGGGAGGGCTCCTCACCAGAGGACTGCAGCCAAAACAAACACAAACCCGCACCTCCTGGTAAGTTCCCATATAGTGAACTTGGCTTTTCATCCATTTCCAGATATCTTCATGTTTTCCAGTACATCAGATCTTCTGGCACAATCCCAATCAGTTATTATTATTATTATTTTATTTATACTAAAGCAGTGTCTAGAGGCCCCAGGTGAATTGGGGACCCTACTGTGCTAGGTGCTGCTCTGAACATTTTACAATCTAAAATCCCAATCCAGGGAAAAAAGAACAAACGTGCTAAATTTTAAGCACATAATTAGTTCCATTGTTGACCCCCCACACACCCCCCCCGGTCCAGCGGCCCATAGGTATATTGTCCAATTACAAAAGGAGGTATCTGACATGACTTTTCACATGGTGCTGGAGAACTAGCCTGTTCTTCACTCGCCTAGCAGTGGTGACTCCTGTCCCGTAGGGCTGGGCCCAGCTCCTGTGCTGTGATTCACTGAGCCATGTTGCAATGCCACTCACTCAAATTTGGCCCAGCTGCCCCTCCTTCATGACCTAGGGGCATCCAGGCCAAACTTGAAAGGCACTGCTATCCTTGCACCAGGTCAGCGTGGAGAGTCCGGCCCAGTCCCATAAGACAGGAGCCACTGCTGCCTGGTGAATGTGCAGGAGGCTTGCTTTCCAGCCCTGCCCCCGTCAACCATTCCACACTGGGTTGAGATTAGGTTTGTGGTGGGTGCAGCAGGCATGATCGATCTCATGTGTGAAATACACAGGCATGACAACAGGTGTGAAATTAACAAGCCAAAAGGTATAATGGAAAGTGGCATCACCAATGACTCTTCGCCCCCCCACCCCACCCCCATTGCAAAACCTGGCTCTGACACTGTCTCTCCTCAGAGAGGGTTTGGGCATGTATGTGCCTGACAAGAATATTCCCTGAGAATATAACAATTAATGCAACAACAAAAAAGTCTTGGAGGGGAGATAAAACCTCATGCTGCATTAAAAGAATGTTTAACTAACTATTAGTGAGACTAATTGGAGAGCAATTCCTATGTTCCTGTGTTTTAGTGACCTCTTGATTTTAATGTCCCTGGAAAATGCATTAATTGAAGATTTTATTTGTCATTATCGCTTTACTTCTAGTATACAGTACTAATCTCTTACCTTAACTCCTTATCTTTCTGCTGCTTCCCTCTTCCTGGTGTTTCATCTTTCATACATGTCTCTCCTTTATTGTTTTTAAATTACTTCTTGCATATCCTGTTCAATTTCATTGGTCTTCCTATCCAGAGTATATTTACGGCTAGATGACATTAATAACCTTCAGCATCCATTAATTTATCTTCCAAGATCTTATCATTCCCCGTTGTGTCCCATTGCGTTATCTGATTTGCCGTTAATCAGCATTTTATGCACGCTTGCAAACATTAGCTATGCTGAATGTCAGGCTGCTTAACTTTTTTCCTTTTTTTTTAGCTTGGTCCTTTGGCCTACTTTAGTCGTAGTCACATTGAGAGGCACCCTACAGGGTTTCTTTTATAACCTCCGAGTGTTAACAACATGTTGGCAGCGCTCATTCAGCCAATAGAGAGTAGACTGGATGCTACTCAGCCTCACGTGTCATCGGCAAAACTGTCAGCTACATTCCAGCCATCTTTATCATTCATGAATTGCTGCACCGCTCACCCCTTCCCACACCCAAACTCCCTCCCTGAGCCTGCACCCCGCACCCCAATCCCCTGCTTCAGCCTGGTAAAAGTGAGTGAGGGTGGAGAGCAAGTGACGGAGGGAGGGGGGGATGGAGTGAGCAGGGGCGTGGCCTCAGAGAAGGGGTGGGACGGGGCATGGCCTCAGGGGAAGGGGTGGGGCAGGGGGCAGGGCAAGGATCTTTGGGTTTGCACGATTAGACAGTTGGCAACCCTACCGGGCGGGCATGTGAAAACCCTGGCCATGCTGTAAGAGTGTGCCCAACAGCGCAGCCAGCAGCTCGCTGGGCACCAGCCAGCACAGGTGCAGCAAATGCCAAAAATGTCAGGTGGACCGCGTCCGCACATGGGGGTCCATTGACTCTTCTGCCCGGTGGCCCGGAATTGCTGTCGGGGGGCAATTGTCGCGAGCAATTTCATATGTAATGGGAATAACTGTGATGTGGGCAGTCATAAGGGAGAATAAACAATGAGCTCTACAATATCTTTTCCAAACAGTCACTATTCTGGTTACAACCACACATTAATCCTTAGGGGTCCATTCTGGACCTGAGAAACCTCCCTGACAGAAGCGTAATCGCAACCAATATGTTTCTGTGAAATGTCTTGTTCTCCATGAATCAGCTTTGTCTCGTGGAAATCATGTCATTAAAAAATTCCTGACCATCTTTATGAAGGATTGCTGTGTGCCTGCACTGGGGAACAAAAGGGGGCTACATACATCCCCAGGGCCTGTGCAGAAGGGAAGTAGCTGCTGCCAAGTGGCACTGGCCACGCTCTCCTTTGAAGGCTCCACCCCACCAATGCACCAGTCAGAGCACCCGAGATGGCACAGAGTGGGAAGTAATCTGTGCCAGTAACAGAACTAGCTCAGGTTTCAGAGTAACAGCCGTGTTAGTCTGTATTCGCAAAAAGAAAAGGAGGACTTGTAGCACCTTAGAGACTAACCAATTTATTTGAGCATGACTAGCTCAGATTTCATTCACCTTGGGGAAGCAGGGGCCAGATTGTGGCTCTGAGAAGCACAGTTTGGTTCCTTCCCTGTTGTTGGGCAGTGCACCAATGTGCTTGGCCCTTACTGGAGGAGGATGAGAGGATGACAATCCAGTCCTTAATCATGTCTAAAACGTAGGAGTGGTGTGAAAGTTCACCAGGGGGAAAATATGTCTATAAAACTCTTTTGTCATTGAAAACCATTTCATACTGTCAAAAGATAAAAGGTGACCTAAAAGATCTTTCCCTTCTCTCATCTCTGGTCCTGATTTTCAGAGGTGCTGCACTC